CAAGTTTGATTCAGAGTGGTTCAGCAGAGTTGTGTTGAGTGATGATTCATGGTAAAGTGAGTTGCATGGTGGAAATATAATAATGAATGCATCTCTACCACAGTGAAGCATGGAGAAAGAGGTGTCATTGAGCTGCTTCACTGAAAAGCCTTTTATGCTTTGGAGTGTACTAGTGAGTATGGTAGAATATTCCAACAACTGAAAAGTTATCTAAGAGGAATGACCAGATGTTATTTTTCATCAAGGAATTAATGCTCCTGCACAAATTTCAAAGACAACCAAGAAGTGGCTTGAGAACAAGTCCATCAGGCTCATGTTTTGGCCTGGGGTCTATATACCATGAAGCCGGTTTAGGTGGCTAGCCAGGTATGTTTCAGTTAGTTTGTGCCAGCCCTGGGTTTTGGGCACCATGAAATTGGTTTGTTTTTTTGCAGTGTTCATCGCCATAGTATCTTACGCTCCACGGCTAACCTGGCCCGGGGCAGGTTATGTTCCTGGTAAGAGGTTGCAAACCAAACTTGGACCGCTCAGCTGTGAGCAAAGTGACATGTCTGATGCGATAAAGTCACTCCACCTGTTTTTACTCCAAATTAAAGGTCACTACATAGCACATGATTTTTAAAGACAAAATCGTCTGGCTTTTAGTAATGCTTATTTAGAATAATACATTTATATGATTTAGATATTATTTATGTAATTATTATACCCTTAATCGATCACACATGTACAATTTTAGTTCATCAATTATTATTCTGCAGAGTTTAAATGAATAAATGTATAAAGGTAATATAAATACGCTTTAGAATCAATAGATGAAGCTATAACATGACTACATGTGAGCTTAAATTTTAAATTCTCTCTATACCTTTATCAACCGTATAAACTAACTTCACAACTTTTACTTGTAATGATGTACAGTAGCGAGACTTTTTCTTTTAGTTGTCCTCTTTCATAGACAGCTATTTTCCTCTTCCTGTGTAAATTTGTTTAAATTCTTAATATTTTAAAACTTTTAAGTGAATTGCGCTGCTTCTCTCGCGAGAAATGAATCGCAGTTTCACTCTTTCTCAGCATGTGATTGGCTGTTCGCTACTGATGTCACAACTAAACTCGGGATCAAAGCTTGAATTGACAGAGAATCATCATCATGGTACCAACAAACCCTGGTTGGATTGATTTGGTTTTGTCAACTCGAAACTAATCCTGCAACCCTGAGTTTGTTAAACTACCATCATGGTACAGGCCCCATGTCAGATATGAACCCTATAGTGAATATTTGGTCTCGCATTAAACTCAAACGAACTGGGAGACATTGATCAACTACTCATGAGCAGTTTGAAGACATTAACATTGAGTGGAACAACATTAACTATTCTTCCTGTAAAAAGCTGTCTCCAAGTTTACTACCCACACAGCTTAAACATTTAAAGAAAAGGGGAAGGCTATTCTGTGCTAAGTTACTTTATATCTACAGTATTTGTGCTTACAAATTGTAGTCCATTACTGAATTCAAAACTGTATAGTAATGTAATCTATTAGACTATTTAGGTAATACAATCTGACTACTGTTTGATTAAAAATAAAATAAGAATCAGGATGAATGAATTATGAATAATTTATGCCATTTTGTGAATATTAAGTAAACATGTAATCAAGAAATTAATCATGTAATCAGCGGAAATTTAAATTACAGCAAATATCTGTAAAACAGCAGGTATTTCATTGCATGACAAAACGGAAAAATTCTTTAAAAAAATACAGACCATTAGCCTACCTGTAAAATTACATTTATTTTTGACAATGTAGCCTAATCAAGATTACATATAATCAGTTACTATCCAGCACTATAACCACTGTTTTTTGGTGTTATTCAGATACGATTAGGCTATAGTTTTTGTTTATATTTTGAATTAGTTTTTATTTAATATATTTTCCATTGTAATTTTAGTTTAAGTTTTAGTAAAAAATAAATAAAATGTCTACTATAGTTTTTTTTTTTTAATTCGTTTCAGTTTTAGTTATTTTAGTACATCAGGGTAATAAAGTTGAAATAAATAGCTGAAATAAAATACGTTTAAGGTTTTTAACATTTTATTTCAGCAACAAATTTTATTTTTTTATGACCTCAAACCTCAAATTTTTTAAACCTCAATTTCAAACCAAACCTCTTTCCTAATTTCCTTATTTTGAATCGCAAGTGTTGCATTACTGTCTTTCACCACAAGATGGAGTTTGGTAATAAATAAAATGTGCACTGACCCTCTCAATATTATGAAAAAAAGAAAAGAAGAAAAAAAAAAACCTTTTATGCTTTGCCGTTCTCTTATCATTGTGTATGGCTGCCACCTGTAGGCTAATCCAGTGTTTCCCAGCCCTGCTCCTGGATGCACACCAACAGTGCATATTTTGGATGTCTCTCTTATCTGACCCATTTATTTCTGACCTTAGAGTCTCTACTAACGAGCTGATTCACGTGTGATTGAATAGGAAGAGTTGGAAAATGTGTAGTATTGGTGTGTCTCCAGGGGCCTATACCATGAAGCCGGTTTAGTGGGTAGCCAGGAATGTTTCAGTTTAGTTTGCGCCACCAACCCTGGGTTTTAGGCACTATGAAAGTGGTTTGGCTTTTAGCAGTATTCATCGCCATAGTAACTTATGCTCCACGGCTAACCTGGCCCGGGGGCAGGTTATGTGTTATGTTCCAGGTAAGAGGTTGCAAACCGAACTTGGACCACTCAGCTGTGAGCAAAGGATAAAATCACTCCACCAGTCCACCTGTTTTTACTCCAAATTAAAGGTCACTACATAGCAAATTATTTTTAAAGACAAAATCGTCTGGCTTTTAGTAATGCTTATTTAGAATAATAATTTTGTATGATTTAGATATTATTTATGTAATTATTAAACCCTTAATCGATCACACATGTACAATTTTGTTCATAAATTATTATTACGCAGAGTTTAAATGAATAAATATATATAAAGGTAATATAAATACGCTTTGGAATCGATAGATAAAGCTATAAAATGACTACACGTGAGCTTAAATGTTCAATTCTCTCTCAACTGTTTAAACTAACTTCACTACTTTTACTTGTAGGCTACTGATATACAGTAGCGAGACCTTTTCTTTTAGTTGTCCTCTTTCATAGACAGCTATTTTCTTCTTGCTGTGTAAATTTGTTTAAGTTCTTAATATTTTAGGCTACTTTTATTTAATAAGTGAATTGCGCTGCTTCTCTCGCGAGAAAGGAATCTCAGTTTCACTCTTTCTGAGCAAGTGATTGGCTGTTCGCTACTGATGTCACACCTAAACTCTTAAACTCAGGATCAGAGCCTGAGTTGACAGAGAAAGTTGATGATCAGCATCATGGTACCAACAAGGTGTGACATAGCGAACAGCCAATCACATGCATTTATAATGTTTATAATAATTTAAAAGCAAAGTTTAATGTTACTTGTCAATTAATATGCGATATTAGGCTAATTATGTGAATATATTATATGAATTAAAAATTATTATAATTAATATAATATAATAAATAATCAGCAGCAAAATATGAGCAATTTTGTCTCTGAAGTTTTTCCTCAATAAACTGCTTTAATTTAGAGCGAGAGATACCGGGGAAGTGGCTTTATTGCATCAGATACGTGTCACTTTGCTCACATCTGATTGGTCCAGTTTTGGTCTGCGACCACTTAAGCAAGAATGCTCCGGAGCAGGTTAGCCGTGACAGTAAGTTACCATGGCGACGGACCCCGCTAAAAACCAATCCACATTCCTGAGCCTGAAAAACAGTTTTATCAAATTTATCTCGAACTTACCTGGGTAGCAACTGAAACCAGCTTTGTAAAACAGGCCGCAGGTTCAACAGGCCTGAGGAGTTTTGGAACAGAGATGCAAAAGATTATCTCTTGGGTCACCGTCACCGCCTGCCCCTAAATACAAAGCTACCCTATAAGGTCTAAAAAACAGCTAAAAAACATCTAAAATGGGCACTTAATTGTATTTTATTTAGCCTTAATGGAATTTATTTGTATGACTAAGGCTCAGTGCTGTCGATAGTTCAGTGGTAGTTCATTTATAACTTTGTTTGCTACTGCTTTTATCAGTTCATCAGTTGGCTAAAGAACTTTATTATACAACTGATTGTAGACATGTTGGATTATGTTCTTACCTGCACTTTATGTCCAACTATGCGTTATGGCCTTTGACTGTAACAGTGACTTTTCTGCACCTTCATTTTACGGAATGTAAATTTTAATTTTACGGTAATTTTAAGGAATGATCAAATTACCCATGAATGATTACCTATAGTTCAGATTGATCTTCTTAAAAAGTCATTTTACACCTTAAATGCAGATGCAGTAGGCCTAAATATCGTATCTCAACTGCATGAGGGAAAATAATGATGACAATATAGTCATTTATGAACGGCGGGTGGCTGGTGTCATACTAGGCTGTTGTAAAGGTTAATCAGTTTAGCCGATTAGAAATGAGCTACAGGAAAGAAATCACAATAATACATGATCATCCATGACAGCAGAAGTTGGAAGATTCTGTTAAAAAAGTTAGGATTTACAAGACAAAATCAATTCAGAGTTAATAAAGTAGCCTAAAATTATACTCAACATAACTATAATGCCTGGCTTTTCTAGTTTTGTACATCTTCAAAGTAAATCTATTAACTATTACAATATATTCAAACACTTTTAAAATATCCATGTTCTTTATTAGTGCTGCAAATCACAGTAAATTAGGTTGAGGTACTATTATACATTCATGTAGCTACTATTATTATGGATGAATAGATTGTAGCTATTTGAAGCAGACGAATGTTATATCAAGGTTAATGAAAAACGGCACAAAAACACAGAGGGTGCGGTCAAATGTGTGTTCATAGATAAAATGTGTTTCAACCCTCACTAACGCAAAAAGAGAAGTGCTCTAGTGTGCGCGCACATACGCTCACTACAGCACAGCATAGCAGCGTGAGCGCGCATCACTTCCTGTGCAAGTGTGTGTGCATGCTGGGCGCTTTCAACTCCGACTGGACAACCGTCGGAGTCGACGAAGTCAGACAAATAGACAGGAGTAACGGAATATCTGGGGGAATACTCCACCAAACTATCCGAGTTTAACCAGGTAAGTTCTAAAGTCTCGTATCAAGGTCTTTGTTTTCCTCATTTAGGCTTTGTTGAAGTGTAATTTCCTCACCTTTTGGAAGGTTATTGAGTATGTGAGAAGCCCCAGTTGTGCTAGCCTGCTGTAGCTAACCTCAGTGGCTCTGTTGCTCAGGATCGTTTCCTCTCAAGTTGAGGTCTAAAAACCCCCCGTGTTTATGTCGAAACGACTTTTTTGCGTTTTACAGGCGCCCTGATAACACCTACAGCATCAGTCTCAGCGGCTATAGTGTGTCATTATATCCAGCTGTGACTGTTAAACACAATTATCACGACGCACCACTGTCACAAAATCAATATTTATCTTGATACATATTCATGTCTATTAGAGATCGACAGTTACCTCTTATTAGATTACCGCTTAGATTTTTAAATAAGTTCCACTTTTATCAAAACTTACATAACGACCAATAAACTATATAAATATTATTATAATTATCTTTTCTGTTGTTGTTGTTGTTGTTGTTGTTATTGATGCATAGACTTTACAATAAGGTTCCTGATCTAACAAGAGCTAACAATAAACAGTATTTTAATTTTAATTAACGTTAACAACGATTAATACTGTATCAAATGTATTGTTAGTGTATGCATTAGCCAATGTTAACTAATGGGAACTTATTCTAAATTGTTACCCAATACAATAAATGATACTTTACCCTTGAATACTTTTGTTGTTTTGCTTTTTACTTTTGTTGTTTTGCTTTTTACTTTTATTTTTATTTTTATTTTTTTTATTTTTTTTTAGAAACCCACCAAAGGGTGCAATTTATTGGTAGGCCCGATACAACAAAACCTAAAGAACAGCAGAAATAAAACACTTTTTTAAAATTATCTAAAAAGTATACTAGTCTATTCAAATTATGAGTGTTAGCCTACTATATAATATTGAATATTGTATTATTCGCCTGTGTGACTGTCTTGCTGTGTTTCCCATTACTACAAAATATGATATAATACATGCTTACATATTCACACACTTTTGTTTCTGTTAGTTTGCGTTTTTATTTTACTGTTGTCTATTTCAACAGAACAAGATAACAGTTTGTTGATCAAATTATTGTTGTGTTATAAGCAACTTTTTGTTAAATAACCAGTTTTTAGCAATATCTCGGATTTGTTTAGTAGTAGTAAAATGGTTTGGTTCAGTTTCTTTTCTTCTGATATTTGGTTTCTCATGACATGATTGCACAACATAGTATCACCCAACTTAAAGTAGATTAATCTTCATTTCAGGTCAGATAAACGTTAGTAACACTTTATAAGAAGATGGTCATCTGTTTTGTTTTGTGTGTATTATTTGTTTAAAAAAAGAAACCTGTTCGGGACAGTTTCCTGAAAGATCTTTTCACCGTTTGTCATGCAAATTCATAGTATTTTGCAACGTAAAGTTTTGCCTAAATAATTTGTTGAAAGTTTGCCTTTGGCGGAACGTTTTAGGTAAATATCACAGTCAGTGAGTAGATTTAATTTGTCTGTTTTAAATATTTCTTGGATGGCATCATGAGGAATGAAATGTGTTTAAGAGCTTTGAAACCTTTAAAGAGGTGATTTACTGTGATAAGGATCTTAAGAAAATTTATGATATTTGTACTCCTTTGTAGGTGATTCATTAACGGCTTAAGGACAAGACAGAATTGTTAGATCGAAAGCCCTGTGTGATTTGTTAATTTAGAAAATGTATATATATATTTTCATCATTTCACCAGGTAGGAATGTGTGGTTGTTATGCTCTGGTGAAAGCTGTTGTCTAGTCCCGTTTTACTAATTGCACACTGGAGCTATTCCTGATAATACATTTCTATGCTGCTTTGTTTTCCTGTTTGAAACCATGACTTTTTTTAATGGGTTGCCGTTTTTAGTCCCGCTGGATCTTATCGCTTGGTTACAGATCCAAGCAGCAGGTTGTTCTGCTTGCTCTCTAGGCTTTGCTCTCCCTGTAGCTTTGTGGCGTATAAGGCACAAAGCAGGAACGGCGAAATCCAAAATGGGTCAGTGAAATATGTCTAGCTTTGAATCAGCAGTCTCATTTTAAGCCATCATGGTCAAAGAAATTATATCTGTTGAGAGTTCTAATTTCTACTTTATACATTGACATTACAGAGGAGTCAGAATGTTTGCTTGCTCTATTATAACATTCTAACTTTTGGAAATGGTACAAGGTGTTTGGTTTTGAAAAGGTCTTGAAGATCTTGATATGTTCCTGAACTCTTGTCAGTCGCAGTTCTTTTGTAACATGGGAATTCATCAAAGATGCATTTTTAAGACTAGTTAGCCCCAGCAGAGTTTGGTTTTGTGTACTTGTTGCCACCATGTGGAAGCTGTGCTGTAATTTATTTTCATTTTTTATGATGCTTGCGTGTTCAATCATTGAATGATCAGATCCAGGTTTACTGAGTTACTAGAATGTTTTCTACCAAGGCTTTTCAACGTGTTTCCTTCGCAGACAGTATATGGACATTAGGAAGACAGATTCAAGCCACGTCGACATTCAATGTTTGCGTAACATCCTGCCTATAAAGATGAAGCCTTTTTAGATAAAAAAGCAACCGGTGATCATATTAGTTACTAGATTGTGGTAAATGGACCTCTTCTTTTCACTTTCATGCATTGATGCATTCCAGTTGATTCTCCTCATTCTTTCCACGTAAGATATTAAAAGCAGCTTTAGTAAGCCGAGTAATATAGCTGAGGGAAAATATTTCCTGGTACTCTTGCTGCGGGCACAAACTAAATCCTCTAGCACCACAAATGATTGTCTGCGTCACCATTGACTATTATTCCCCCTGCCCTCTCGGAACAGGAAATTGATATTTTCTTCCTTGATGCGTTTGAACACATAGCTTACGCAAACAACTCTGATGTTGTATGTGTATTATTAAGGAAGATCCTTTTTTCCATTGCATCAAGTCTGTCTGGATTCGGCATGCTTGGCTTTTACTTGCCTTCAGGTTATGTGCAGAGATGTTATATAAATGCTCCGGATTTGACCGAGTTAAAGTTGTGACAGCCAAATGCCATAGTCCTTAAAGAGTGACCTTTTCCCCTTTAGTTGTTCTGATGTACTTTGAGCTCAGGCCTGTTTTTACACATTATATTGGGAAACCTAAATTGTGCCCAGCTGATTTTTTATATATATATTTTTAAATCTGGCTTGCTTTTGGATCTTGGATCTATTTGATCATGAAGTGCCACGTACATATGTTCAGAGATTTCCATCTGTGTTTTTTTATGCAAATATTTCAGGATATTGCATTTAACATTCTGGACAGAAGCACCAAGATGCAAATTTCCACAATGTGCAGAGAACTTTCCTCCTAAACCCTAAGGTAACATTATTTCAAATCACAAGCACAAATCAAAAAAGAAAGGTATGATCATATAAGATGAAAACACTGCATGGGTCTTCCTACAGTCAGATTAAATGGGAATGGCTTTAGGGCAGCGGTGGATGAAGTACCTGAAAATTTTCTAATTATTTCTTTCTAATTGAATAAATTAGACCTAAATAAAAAAATATATCTATATATTAAACAGACTTGCACATTAGATGGCAACTTCTTAATTCTGTAATCAAATTACAGTTTTTTTTGTTTTGTTTTTTACAAAAAAAAGAGGAAGTAAACACTGTAACCAACAGGGCACTCAGTCTCAGGAATCTGGTAAGTTTGTGCACACTGAACCATATTTAAAATAAAATAAAAACAAGGTAACACAAATTTTACTTATAGCACACAGTAAAAGTGCCATGAATATGTCATAGTGGGCTACTGAATATAGCGCAGCATAGTTTGAAATCAAGGGTTTAAAAGTTTGTCAATCGTACGTCTCCAGTGAAGCTGAACTCTTCTGTCCACACGGACTGACCGCCACGCACAGAGAAATACGCGTTCATGCAGGGTACAAATTTGACTACATCTGCAAGGTTTGTGAAATTAAATGTTTATTAGATAGTCAAAAATTTGTTTAAATTATATGAATTAGTTTTTTGCTGAATGCTGACGGTAAATGAGAAGGTACAATAGTGTTTGCCTTTCTGTTACTAATAATATAAAAGCACATGCTATAATACTTTTTCGTATAGTTTACTTTCTTTGTTTAACAGTTCTGTCTAGTAACATATTAGACAAAACTGTTAAACAGAGAATGAAGACATAGATCGAAAGCCCTGTGTGCTCTGGCGCTGCTGTTCTCAGAGCCAGCGTTCTCAGCACTGTCAAAATAAAAGTCCCGCATCCAACACAGCGGCCAAACAGAAAAACTTATCGGCCAATGCCGATATTTAAAAAATGGCAAGTATCGGTCGATATATCGGCCTTGGTGATATATCGGTTGACCACTTGTAGTCGACTAAATGTTCGTTGACGAGAAGAAGCTTAGTCGACCAAAATTGTATTAGTTGGTTAGTCGCAGAACGACGGGTCCTTGTAATTACAGTGTCGGGTCGAGAAAATCCAAACATTTGACCTCAAATATGGCTTATCATTTGAAAAATTTAAGTAGTAGCAACTTTAATCTTGATAAATATGCGCTATTATTAGGCGCATATTCATGTGCTTGTGCGAAGTGTTGAAGCTAAAGTATTAGCGTACTTACTGCATGACATGGAGGTGGCGGTTTGATTGATAACAATGGAAACAACTTGAAATACTCAAGTTGTTTTTGGTCATGCAGATAGATAAGAGTAATACATCTACACCACTCACTGTCGTTTTGATCATTTTATCATGAAATTCAAACAAAAAATGCCGTGTTGACGCTCTTTAATGTGCTGTATAGGCGCCTCAGTTCAAATGGCAGCGTGGAGCACGACTCAACACGATCATCTCTTCCTCTTTAATACTAGTTATAAAGCTGAATGAACATCTGAAGTAAGGTATGTTGAAAGATACAATACAACTTACTGAAACGTATCATTATCTCATGTAATAGCTCAATCAGTGTTTCAATGGTGGAAAGACA